AGCTGGCGCGGGCCAGGGCAGCTGGAGAGAGGTGGGGGCACCGCAGCAGGGCTGGGGGTCTGGGCCTGGGGTGGGGGTAGCACGGTCTGGGGACCAGGGAGGCAGGGGTTGGGACCAGGGCAGGGCAGCAGAGGATGGAGGCTGTGGTGGGCAGTGTCTGGGCGCGGGCTGGGCCCTGGCTGGGTGGGGGGCACTGGGCTGGGTTGGGGGCCCCAGCACTCACCGAAGCCCTCGACGCGGCCGCCCTTGAACTCGCCCTCGAAGGTCATGTTGTCATAGCGTGTGAAGACGCCGACGCCGCTGAACTTCCCTTGCACGAACTCCCCCTCGTACCTGCAGCGTGGCCGGGCCGGGGGGGAGCTGCGTTAGCATGCCTGCTGCTGCGGGGGCATGGCCTGGCACCAGCGCGGGCTGGTCCTGAGCTCCAGACATGCAGGGCCTGCCTGTGCCCACCCTGTCCAGAGGTGTGGCTGTACTCACACCAGGCCCACACATAAATATGCTTGCACACGTGCACGTCACGTACACTTCCGTGCATGTGCACATGGCTAGATACACCCACATGTGCATGCATGCACAAAGCATGCATTTACACTCACACATTCTCACACAAATGTATTCGCAAATGCACGTAGATGCATTTGCGCACACACACATGCTAACACTTGCACATACGCATCTGAATATACAAACATATTCACAAACACATACGTACAGACACTCTTATGCATGCCCACGTGCACAGACAAGCATGCTCCTACCCACACGTGCATGCACAAAGACCCCCCCCTGCACCTGCTCCGAGGACCCATGGCTGTGTCAGAATCCTTCCCCCCTTCCCCTTGAGCTGCTGTTTGCCCCTGGAGCTGGGGGCTGCTTGGGGCCACCCCCCTGCTCCGCATCCCCAGCCCGGGGGCCAACCACAGCGGCGGGCACTGCTCAGCCCTGGGTCTCCCCACACACCGGGAGCCGTCAGCAAAGGTGAGCACCCCGCAGCCGTGAAAGAGCCCGTTCTCGAAGTGGCCCAGGTAGGTGCTGCCGTCAGCGAAGGTCAGCTGGCCCATGCCGTGCCGGCGGCCTGGCGGGTGAGAGCAGCACTGCATCAGCACCCCTGACACCGGGGTGGGGCATGGGCCCCAGGGACAGCAGACGGGGGGGCAGCTCCTGGCCTCCCTGCCTGAACCCCTGGCCGGGGAGACTGACCTTCCTTCCACTCGCCGCGGTACTCCTCCCCACTGGAGTAGGTGAAGGAGCCCTTGGTCAGCGTCATGGTCCTGGTGCCAGCTCCCGCGGGCGCAGGGCAAGGCTGCAAGGGAGGGCGGGTGAGTGCATGGCTATGGCCAGGGCCCACGGGCAGTGCTGTGCAGGCTGGCTGAGCCCCCAGCATCCCCCATACAGAGACTCCGGCAGCACCGATCTTGCCCCACGTTACCAGGGGCCGTCTCCTCTCCCCAAGCTGCCCACCCTTTCCTTTGGGACCTGACTCCAAGCCCCCTCCATCTCCCTGGGGCTGCCAGACCCCTCCGCTGGGACATCGCTAGCTGGGGCAGGTCCTGGGCACTGCCCGAGACCACGACACTGCCGACACGGCCCAGGGGGCACCCGGGGCTGGCGTCTGCTTGAGCCCACTGCTGGTGCTGGCTGCAGCTGCCTGGCAGGACTGGCCCCTTGGCACACGGGCCCCAGTGCTACACCCCTCCTCCGGGCAGTGCATGGGGCCGAGCCCTGGCAGAGAAGCG